CTAATAGTTAGCATTCTAACTAGTTCAGGCGAAAACAACGCAGATTTTATATTTCCTATGAACTGATGAGGTTTTTTTGTGCCTTATCAGCCTGGGAAGCATGGAATATCCATGTAAGGATTAATTTCCCAAAGTAAAGATTAAAACTCTCTATTTTCGAAAATTAATTCTCAATAGAGAGTTATGGTGGACTTTTTGTCAAGCAAAAATATTCTCCTCCCCTTATTAAATTAAAGAATAAGTAAACTAAAAAAGCGAAACATTTTCTTCCCTTTTTCTGACTTTTTAATTTATTTTCTTTGTTTTTCTTTCAAGAATTAGTTTTTTTGGTATAAGCAACTACTTCTTGGATATTTTGCGAGAATTCCATAAGTTATTTACTCTTTCTAACCAGCCGACATCGGAACTAGGAATTCTCGCTAACTCTAAAACCGACTGGCTAGTTAGAAACAATAAACAACTTTATTATATTATATTTTTTATCTTTTAATCATTCATGATTGCCAATTTGCTCGGCACAAACCACAATTATTCGCTTTGGCACAACATTTAGCACAAACTAAATTAGTATTTCAATGTTTATTTCTTGAATCAACTACTTCTGCTTTGGAATTGGGACATTCGTGTTTATCTGATATATAATATAGTATTTTTAGTTTTTCAAAAATTAGTCCTCTTTGAATATGTCAAGTAAGTTTATTGCAGAAAAGTGAGGGGGGGATTTATGCTAATTGTGTAATATGAGAAGCAGCAGCGCGGATTAATAAGGTTATATTTAAAAAGTTTAGCAAGGCTGGTGGCAAATGAAATTACATAAACATTATAATATAGATAAAAGGAGAAAAAAGTAAGAATTACTTTGACCAATGTTTATCTGTATATACGCAAAAAAAAGAAAATAAATAATTGCCTATGACCAGAACGAAATGGAGGTATCTAACCAGTATAATTTTAAAGCAATCACTCCTGGTTAGATATAATGGCTTAAAAGCGAAGTAGTGATTGTAAATTTAAAAACAAAATACTAGAAAATAAAGTAAAAATATGGTAAACGCCCAAGAATACATAAATAACAAGTACCCTGACAAAACAATAAAAAATTTAGACTTAACTAATAAAAATCTCGAAGGTGAACTGGATTTATCTGATTTTAAGAATTTAGAGGAATTAGATTGTGGAGATAATGAATTAAAAACTTTAAAGTTGAATGGTTGTTTAGAATTAAAAAATCTTTGATGCTACAATAATAAATTAACTGAACTAGAAATAAATGATTTAACTAAGCTTGTTCACCTTGATTGTAGGGATAATTATTTACCGGATTTAAAACTCCCTTCCTCAACTGGGTTAACTTACTTAACTATTAGAAACAATAACCTTTCTAAAAGAAATTTATCGATGTTTAGTCACCTGACTAATCTAGAAATATTATATATTGGTAGTGATGAACATGATCAAGATAAAGTCGATAAAGGTATTTATAATAAATTTGAGGGTAGTTTAAAATACTTAAAAAATTTGGAGAATTTAACAGAGTTAAGCATTAGCAGTACTGACATAGATAGTGGAATAGAATATCT